GCCTCAAGGCTTAGCTAGGAGAATCGCAGCTGCAGGTACGTGGATCAAGCGTCCTTGATCCATATCACTCACAAGCATGGCCCTCTTCGTTGGACCGTCAACCATGCTTGCGAGACGGTCCCCCTGCTGTTCTTTGTTTATTTTAAGGAAGCATAATGCTGCATCAGATTTCGAACATAACTCTCATTACAACTCAAAGTCCTTAGGAACAGGATTTCCACACACACACACACAAACTGGGTGATGCAGTTACATGAGTGTTCGCAGCTGGCCCTAAACCAGCACAAGGAAGCCAGACATCAAGCATTAATCTTGACCTGACGAATCAGGCTCAGTGAAGGCAGGACAAAAAGTATGGATGAGGTGGGCTTGGCCTGGGTCAAGTTAAGTCAGGCTCAGTCTATGTCTCAACCGAATGCGACCTGAAGTGGACCTACACTTAACCGAACCTAACCTAGACTGGAATTGCAACTAAACCCAAAACCGTCCGGGCCGTGCTGTCTGAGAATCCGACTGTCGCTGTTACTTACCCACGGTGCCTGACCCTGGCCATTAATTCGGGTAGAACTCTAAATTGAAAGGCATTCTCCTTCTTGGTGTAGCCACCGAAGAAGAAAATGCTGTCTCGGCACACCACAGCCTGAACTGAGACTCAAAGCCAGTTCAAGCTGCTGTGCGAGCAACGTGGTTTCTATGCAACGACACATTGCCAAACACGCACTCTTGACTCTCTTGACCTTGGATCCAGATCGCGCCGAAGGCGGACTGCCAGTCACAGGGTCGATGCAAGCCCATGTCCTGCATAGGGGGGGCTCACAGGCAAGGGGCTGAGCGCATAGATAATCTTCACAGGCCAGGAGCACTTGTGACGAACATCGTACCGGTAAATGTCGTTCTGCCGGGCATTTTCATCGGTGCCTGCACACGGCACCACATTGCTTCACAACTGCCGCTTGCCTCTCCCGTGTGTGCAATTTGCTGCAGGCAGGCGAGACACTCCAAATTTCTTGAACTCACTGATGAGTCTTTGGGTGAGACTTCCCAGCGCAGTGCATGTCCCTGGCGATAGGCAGTGCTACTCATCTCCTGGCTGGCAAGAAAATGGTCATGGAGTGAAGACCAAGGATCGCAATATCGACTCGGGTCGACACGTGAAGCCGTGAAGTGCACCTGCGGGCTGCGAAACCTGTTTCACCTTGCGGCCAATCATCAAGCAGCTCAGTCGGAGTCACCGAGCAATGGCAGCACGTCTCGCAAGCACTTCTGCCACTGGGGTCTGTGCGAAGGCTGTCAACTGCAGCAGCCATGACTCCAGCGACACTATCCTGGCATGCTCTAGGCCCTCTAGGCCATCAGGCCAAGCTCTTATCCTTCCTTTCACGTCTCGAGCTAGGCTGAGGCACCAGGGGTCACTAGATGTCACCAGGGTTCATGTCATGCCGCCCCGTCCCACTAGGTGAGAAGCATGCGAGAGCGCCGACCTGCTCGTAGCCCGACAAGCCTGGGCCGGTCACGACGTGCCGCCCCTCAACCCGGCCACTTCCCTGCCCTGATCTTCCTGAATGTGTCACGGTGCTTCAGCCATGATGCACCAGGCGTTATCTAGCGCCCTCGCATTTCGCGAGGCGCGATGAGTGAAACTGTTTCGAAATCTAAGACTACTGCAACTTCGACTTGGTCCGTGTCTTTCCAGACTCCTCCTTGGTTCCCAGCTTGGTTCCAGTGCGGCTAAGGCTAGCAGTCTCCAGCTTGGTGCCGGCATTGGACTTCGTGCCCTGATTTGACTTGGTGCCAGCTTTGGAGCCGGGCTTGGAGGCGAGCTTCAAGGCGGCCTCCTCCTCCTCCTTCTGCAGCTGCTCGCAGAGGACTTGGTCGTCGGACCTGACTGGCCTCGGTGGACCCAAGATGTCCACCAAGACCTGCACCCAGTCCATGAGCTCCCGCTCGCGCTGTCGTCCATCCTCGGTCCCTTCGCTGGCGGCGAAATGGCCCATCGACTGCAGAGCCTTTATGAGGTCAACATAGCTTCTCATCAGCTTTGCACGGGCACCGGGACAAACGGAGGCCAAGTGGCTCACGGCATTGCTTCCTGCTACCATGGTTCCGTGCAGACAGCTGGTCGCTAACATGGCCTCGAGAATGGCATCCACGAATGGCTCGACCACCAATGCGTGTCTCTGACAGATCCGCTCAAAGATTCGAAGTCCCCAGAGGGCCGCTTCGGAGGAGCCGCCCTCCTCTCGGAGCCCACGAGCCACGGCCGATGCAGTGAGGCCGGGCAGCCGCCCGAGCTTCTCAGGAGAGAGCAGATCCGTCAGGCCGGAGTCGCTCTGAAGCAAGGCGAAGGCGCAGAACAAGGCGTCTTGCTCCAGCGACTTCGCCTCGGACGGGGGCGGAGAGATGGAAAGAGAGGGAGAGGCTAGAAAGGGAGAGAAGTTTCAAAGAAAGCAGGCGGCCTGCGAGAGATCTGCTCCCAAGGCCCAAAGGACGGCCGTCGCTGCTCCTCCGTCGACCCCTCTCGCAGCAAATCGCTCGTCCACGTTGCAGATTGCACCGAGGGCAGCCAAGCCCCAGCGCTGCATGCTCGGGTCCTTTTCATGCCGTCTCAAGGTGCTGATGATCACGTCGATAATCCCACCCTCGATGCATGCACTAGGAAATGCGTCCAAGACGACGGACGGAGGCTGCACAGAGGCAATGCTGCGGAGGAAGGCCAAAAGCTTCTGCTTCAATCCAATCCGAGAACTGCGCAGGAGAGTGTCACAAAGAGCTTGCTCGAGCTGAAACTGGCTGATAATCTGAAGCACTTCGAGCTTCAGGTCGTTGCACCGGAAGGTGATGTAGAGGAGTGCTTCAGCTGCGGCTTCGATCACAGACTCTCCGGCTGCTCCTGAAAACATCTCCAGCAGCCTCACAAAGAGCTGATGCTCAGCTCCAGCTGAGAGGAGAGACCCGTGGGACGCCACTTGGGAGACCATGCGACACGCAGCCTCGGCCGCCTCCGCGGCGCTGGCGGCGCTGGCGGCGCTGGCGGCGCAAGCCTTGGCCTGAGAGCCTTGGGTCTCTCGCTCGAGGCTCTCAAAGGCAGAGTGGATCAGCTGAAGCAACGAAGCCCAGTTCTGCGTGCCTGCCGAGCACTCGTCCCTACAGTTCGCACAACGCGATGCACAACTGGCGAAGAAAGAAAGTATCGCCGCCAGCAAGTGGGGATGGTCAGAGTTGGAGAAGCCACCAAGAAGCCTCTCCGTCAGCTTCATGACTTCTTGAAACGCCTCGTTCATCGAGCCAGCCCAGCGTTGAGCAGGAGACTCAGCAGCCAGAGCTTGGAGGAGCCACAAGGCTTGCAATGCGAGTCGTTCCTGCCCTTGCTCACGAGAGGTCACTATGGTCAGTGTCTTGAGAAGCATTTCTGGGCCTCCCTTGACCAGAATTTCTTCAATGGCGGCTGGCCGGTGAGATCGCATCGTCTCGGCACCTACGAACTCCGTGAGCTCCCAGAGCAGGTGACTGGCCAACTCAACACTTTCCGGAGGTGACGGGCCCCAAAAGAGCACCTTATGACATGGCAAGTCCTCCAGTCCGGCTTCTGGGCAAGGCTGCAAAAAGGCTTCCACGCCTCTAGGGGCTTCTGGCATGTAACCTGCCAACCAACGGGCAAGAGGCGGCCCACCACTTGACCCAGGCATGGCATCGCCCTCCCAGGCCGCAACGCCCCGCAGTCGCCGAGCTGGCCTCAACCACATCCTGGCCGAGCCAGGCGCATCGGAGACCACCAGCCGGGCACCTGCACACGAAGCTTTCTCTTTCAAACTCCATGCTTTTGTTTATGATCTGTTGTGGTGAAGCGGAGCCAGTGACAATTTATTTGCGTTCCGTCCCGGCTCGGCCTGGTTGCTTGGCCACTCGCGACCTGCCTGTGTCCTCTCATCAAACTGTTTTCCAAACGGTGAAAACGTGTTTAAGGGCCCTTGAACTCGAGCCTGCAAAGAGAGCGCTTCTCTCATTTTCGATTCGTGTTGTGGCTCCCGGCTTTGGGGGCCCAGGAGACAGTTTTCTGCAGCCGCCAACAGCCACCCGCACTCATGGGGACAGACAGCATCAACACGTGTTTCAGACAACAATATCACGAGACAGAACCCTGCATGCGCCTGGAACGCCATCCTCAACACCCACTGGAGGCAGAACAGAATCAGGCTCGAGAATGCAGACCTTCGACTCCTGGTTGACATTGGTCCATGTAAGGGCCCATGCGCCGCCCTCGACCGAGAAGCCAAAATAATAGATCAATGCATCCCTGACCCGGGTCACAGGGTTCAGGTGCCGCCGCCAGAACTGCGGAATCAGCGCCACTGGATCGAAGCTGGCATCAAGATCGTCGCAGCAGTCGAGATGCTCGATGCACTCCTCAGGAACACCAGCCTCCAGCAAAGCTGTGGTCACAAGCTCCACTGCGATCTTCGACTGCTCACGGTACCGACTGCGGCTTCGATTGATGTACTTGCCACCCGGCAGTAGCAGCTTCGGACCGTCCTCGAATGGGCCGCCGACTTGCCATGCCGCACCATCACCTGTCAAGCTCAGTACTGAGCCTCTGCAAAGAGTAACGTGACACGTCTTGCGACCCGAATCTTCCTGCGACCAAGCTGCATTCCGAAGTGATGAGCAGGGCCGCGCCAAAGCGCTTTAAGTCCACAAGTTGCTGCAGGGGGCTGATTCCCCGCCACGTGACTTTCGAACTCAAGAAGGAGCTACTCGATCCAGTGAGCATGGTGTCCGGTGCACGACCTACAGCTTAGCATGTGCACTGTCACAGTATCGATCATCTGGAAGACCAGCAGTAGCGTCCATGGCTATGCGGCGCATCTACAGGGAGTCTGGCTGGACACGACCAAGTCTCTAGCTATGACACAGCCAAGAGTGCATGCATTCAGAGCAGCTTTCTTCACAATGCAAGTGCAGTTCCTCGATATCCATGGCTTTATCACACATGGACACACCCACGAGAACCAAAGACTGGCTAATCATGCTTGACATGGGTGCATTGTTGCCATATACCTGTTCGAGAAAATCACCAACAGCATGCATTCAGTGGCAAAATTGGTTGTAATCTCCATTCCTGCACCCTCTGCAACACCCATGCGAATGCCACTGCCCCTCAAGCTGTTGGAGTATTCAGCCCTCTCCATCTGCCGGCACGCAGGTTGTGTCAACCAGGTGTCATTTCGTTGCCCGAAGCCCACCCAACAGCATGGCCAACTTGGCCCTGAGGCCACTGACGAAGTGATGTGCCAGCCTCTGCGTCCGCCTGCAGTGCTCGAGTGCCGCTCGACTGCCGCCAAAACTAACGCTCTTGTGCAGCAGCTTTGGTCACGTGCAGCCTCTGCCGTTGCGAAGGTGTCGGGCCTGTGGCCCCAGGAATTGAAACTCACAGCTTCCAAAGGCATCATCGTGCTGTGCTGCCTGCACGGAGACAATTCGGAAGAATGAAAAGAGACGTCGCCGTGCCGATGCCATCGCAGTGAGTTTTCTGAGCCTGCACCAGATCTGACGATTGCAAATCACTTCAAGCGTGACGCCAGGCAAGGAGACCTCCAATACCCATCGCCGGCTGATCTGACTCCACTTCCGCAGAGCATAAACCGTCGATTCCTGCTGCTTTCGCACGAAACAACTCGTTGCGAGTTGGGAGCATTGGTTCCTGTCAAGAGATCATCGATGGACGAGTCAGCGGAACAAATCAGGCGGCACCTGCAATGCGCATTGTTCGATGAATACCCAAGCTTTGCAGACAGAAAGCACTGTCCAAGAGCCGTGCTGCTGCTCGTACAGAGCATCCACGAAGTTTGTGAAGCGACGCGCCTGAAGTCCACGGTTAACCATGCGCAATCAATCGTGTCCAATTGCTGCAAGGATCGTCTGCTGATTAGCTCTCCCGCAGCATCTCACCTCGTTGTGCAGGTTCAAGCCGAACTGAGGGACACCAGAGACCACGAACGTGTGAATGCCTGCCAGGACTTCAGTGCAAGCCTGCTTTTCATGTCACATTTGCAGCCTGCACTTCGGATCAGTGCCAAATAGTCCTCTGAGCTCAAAGGGTTTCCTGCCAGAGCAGGCTGGAGATAGTATTTCGCGGCCGTTTTGCTGCTGCGCGAGGGCACCGCAAAGTTCTTCGAAGGTGAACTTGGCGACGCCATTGGCAACGTGCTGGCACAACCTCGCACACAGAGCCAGACTCTAATGCAAAGTTACCAGAACCTGCCGAAAAAAAGGAGACAGCAAATTGTGGGCGATCAAGAGCAAGACATGGAGCGTCCCCAAGCAATCCGCAAGAGCATGGGGCCCACCTTACACAAAACAACACTAGGGTGCATTACATGTCTCTGTGTGCGAGGGAGGCACTGCTTGCTCTTCACAAGCAACTCGAAAAGCAGCCTCCAAACGCTCATTGGCTCCTGCACAAACGGACGCTCAGCTGTTTCTGTTGTAGCTGTATGACATGTGTCATATTCGTTCTTAATGTTTGTGCCCATTCTGTGTCCATCTGCGTGTAACTGTCCAGGTTTGTTCAACAAAATATCTCGGCGGACGTATGCAACTGTCAAGCAGCTCGGGCTGTGCAGGAACAGACAAAGAGTCAGCTGGGGAGGAGGTCCTCAGACTGGAAATTTTAGCTCCCACTGTGAGAGGCAAGAAAGCCAACCATCACTTGCATGGGACGTGACTGTGCACTGCTGTATAACATGTGAGGGTCTGCAAGTTGCCATACCAGCACGGCTCTGCAGCACATCCCTATCACATGGACTTGCAGAAAGCAAACATTTTTAGCCGCTTAGCTATGAGAAAGGGAGTGTGCAAAGGGGTGCCAGCAGATCCAGCACAAGCACGGCAATTTGTGAAGAACAAAGAGGGAGATGTCATGCCGAGCTCGGGCCGAGACCTTGCTTCATGTAGCAGAACCGTATACTGGGTATTCATGCCTGTGCGGTGTGGAAGTATGTATGTACGTAAGCATGTACGTATGTATTCACGCATTTAGCAATTACGCATGCATGTACGAATTGAGGCACACATGCCGTATATGTGTGTGTATATATATATACATACATGCATACATACATACGAGTACATACATAATAACATATCGCATAGACTCATAGACATACTTTGACTTTTCACTTTCCATGTGGCAGAGTCGATACTCGCTTCACGGAAAACGTGGAGGACAGGCATTCTGCCTAAAAGCAAGCTGCTGCAAACAGTGTGCATCCTCCCAACCCGAATCCCCGGTACGAATACCCAAAAGCAGGACTTATTAGACATACATACATGCATGCATGCATACATAAATACATAAGTACATACATGCATGCATGGATACGTGCATACATACATGCCGGCCGGTCTACCTACCTCCCCGCCTTCCTGCTCACTTACATGCATATGTACACGTACAGACAATGATACACGCTGCAACTAGGCTGCTTGCTTTCATGTACTAGTAGTATATAGTATATATTCAATATTCGCCTGCACCCAAGATGTAGTCGGATTGGTCTGTCGAAATATCGCTGGCCGCCTGGCGAGATGGAGGCCCATCAACACCAAAGCTGCCCTGCAGTGGGGGGCCACCCTGACACGGTAGTCTGTGCCAGCATCCAGGTGACGGACCTGCCCAAACTGTGAAGCGAAGCATGCAGGTCATTGGCTGTTCCTGCCTCCAAAGCCGATTGCAACAAGGATTCAAAAGCAGGTAGGTGAGCATCTCGACCGATCCCTCCCTTGTACAACCTGGTTGCACGTTTCTTACGGAGAACGCTTCAGCTGTAAAACAACATATGAGAGGAGCACTCGCTTGGAGATCGGTTGGAAGTTATGACCACAGCGAGGTCCCGTGTCAATAGGTCACCTGCCGATGATCCGACGCACCGTCAAAGAAGGTTCGAACCTCAACAGTGGCTGGGACTGAACAGCGGCGTCAAGAGCCTCAGCACTGGAAGCAATACAAGCCTCGTGATAGAGACGCTCTCGGAGGTTGACAGGCTGAAGCGAAAGCTAATGCAACTGCCTGTTTGGGCATGACTGGGCGGGGGCATGCTTGACCGGACCCTCACATGATCGCGGGGGCATGTGTTTAGTTTCCCGTCTCAGTTTCGATGGTACAAAGAAGCGACACAAGTGCAAACAATGGCACGCGCAACTGTGGCAATGCGTAGCATGCATGTGCGTCACAACGCCAATGACTTGGAAGTGATCCACACTAGGATCGCCGTTGCTCGCCATGTCCGACACGGCAATCGCGACTGCGTTTCTACGAAAGTCAGCACAGGCTGGCAGCAGGCTGTTCACAACAACTGTGAGATTGTATTTCACGTTTCTGCCCAAGGCAAAAATGCAATGCCCCCCTACTCTTCGTCATGGTCGCGCGATTTGTTTGTTGAAATTGCCATCAGACGAAAACCGGCCTTCTAACATCGCTGAGTCTTTGTCTGCCACAAGTGTTTTCGCGTTGCCTCTGCCTTGGGACCCTCCACGAACCGTGCCAGGAGGCTAGATTTCGTTCCGCAGGCCAAGAGCTCGCCCAGGCATGGATACTAGAGAGCAATGAATGCTAATCGCCAAACAACACCGAGCAATACTTCAGTTCAGGCAGCGAGAGAACTGCATCACAGGTGCGTAGAGCAGCAGGTCAGACCGACAGAGAAACTGAGCCGCTGTCGATGCATCTGCGATTGTAGTGATTTGAAACCTCGTCACGTGCGCCCAACTTGTACGGATAATCTCTCCATATGCTGCGAGTTTCCGTGCTGGGCTGAGGACTCATCGAAACAGAGCACAGGCGGCTGACCACGCATGACCTGAAAGGACTCGCAGACAGTCGTGCATTCGTCCTTATAGTCTTGCAAAACAACACTAAACCGGGGCCCCGACGACATCGACCGCAGCGGCTAATCCAGATTGGCCCCCTGACCGATGGAGCTGGCGGTGCAGGTCATGTATGAACCTGGAGCTCGGGTAAGCGATGAGGGAAAGGAACTTGAAAGGAATTGAAAGGATGTACTAAAGCACTGCAACCCGAGCTGAGGAACCCTCTCGTGAAAATGGACTCGCCGGAGCTGCGCCTCGTTCCAGCACGGTCTTCGCCACTTTAGCTGCAGGGAGGGCAAAGACTCTACCGGTGCAACAAATTCCGACCTTTGACGGCATCCCGACCAAGTTCTTTGTGGGCTGGAGGGACAATGCCTTTCGGAGAGCGTCCCTCGCAAAGAGCAAGATGGGCCGCGACCAGCCGAGCACTGCACGAAGACGTCCATGAGAAGAGTCTTGCCACGGCCAACCTGCACAACAGAGCCATTCAGCGTCCCCCAGTACCTTGTGAACACCGTGAACATGCCTGGCCGCCTGGCCTGCCCCCAAATGTAGCAGCCTCTGCTTCGTAACGATGGCCTTGCTCACAGAAATCGTGTGGGCTTCATTTACGCCGGCCCTGCTTTGCTAAAGGCTGGACTTTGTTGGCTCTGCAGGAAGGACCAAAGGAGCCTTTCATACAATCAATTCGAACGACATTGCCGGAAGCCTGCGACATTGCACCCTCTTGACATCTCTTGATGCCTACTGTGTTTTCTATTGCACACGCACCTCGGGGAAGTCGGACTTCTCGTCCTTTCGGTCGTGGCTCCTGTGCTGCTCCAGCTGCCGCCGCTGCTTGTGCGCAGCTACTCTGCGAGCGCATTCGGCCTTTGAAAACTGCCAAGTCTTGTCAAGTCCACACCTACAAGAAAGTCCCGAGCAACAAGCCTGCCACTCCATGTGTGATTGCTTCCACAGGTCGTATGCCTACTGTCTGTTTGGATTCGCGAAACAGCAAGCATCCCTGCAACACAACTGCAGCACCTCGGAGTACGCCCAGGTTGAGCTCCACACCTTGAGCACACAGGCAAGATTTCAATCTGTCACGTGCTCGCGAATGCTTGCCCTTTGCCTGTGTCTAAGGTCGCCTGCACTCACGGCATTCGTTCTCGCTTTTGCACTCCGCTTCGATGCTTTCAGGGGCTCCGCAGTTTTCCTGCTCAAGCTTAACCATCCTGCGAGTCTCGAGCAACTGTCGGAAGGTCAGCGAAATACGAGAGTAGTCGCTTCCTCGCTTCATCTCAGTTCCATCTCGCAGACGAACTAGCCTCGAGCGCCGAATGCCGTGGCGGTAAGCGTACCTGCTCTGGCCCTGTAGCACCAGGAGGCTTCTGGGTTCCAGAAGGACTTTCACCCAGTTGCCATGGTCTACACCATCTCCAGGAGCCTCTTTAGAGTTCTTGACCTCAGAAGCCACGGAAAGCGTCATCTGAACAGGCTGCAGCAACGACAGCGTGGCCAGATTCGGCCCGAAGGATGTTGGATCTTCTACATGAGCAGCGATGCCAGTGGTGCCGGTGTACTTATTTGCTGCAACTTGGTTGAGCTCGCCTGTGAGAAACACGCCAGTATCGACGAGACGTGGCAGCAACCACGAAGGCAAATCCGTTAGAGCGCGACCCTGTTGCATCTCAGTGCTTGCCGGTTGCAGGCTGGCCATATCGTGGCGCGTTTGGTAGTAGACCAATCCGAAAAACTGCTGTGCTCGTATCAAGTGGGTCAACCACTCGCCTTCATCCATGGCTGCCACCAACTCGGCTTCCTCCGAGCAAGTAACGAAGTCACGGATGTATCGCAAGCCTTCCGGCAAGGAGGGACCATGATTTGGACCCACTTCGACCGCGGGATCGGACCATGCCACAGCGGTCGCGGGGCAAGCCTGGCAGATGGCCTTTCGAAGTTCATCCATTGCATGCAGTTCGGCGAAGTGAAACATGCGAAACGCGCCGAGCCCTGGCCCTGGAACGCAATGCTAGGCATGTGTCAATGCGCCTCCGAATCCTCCCGAGCCGGAGGACTGAGATGGACTGAGACCGAGGGCCGAACAACATCCAGCTGCTTTGCCACCTGTTGCTGCACTGGGTCCGGCTCGAGTGCCTAAGAGGCGGACGGGCAAGGCGGTTGCTTCTGAACGTCTTTGGCTCCGGCCTCCAGGCCGGTCAGGTGAGCAAGCGCTTGCGACGGACCAGCCTGCCACACGACCGACGAGACACCAACAACGAAGCACTCTCAAAGGGCCTCGAAGGCAACAGCATGAGCTTCATCGAGAAGCGAAGGCGCCAAGCCCAAGCGCAGCAAGCCGGGCCTGTAGACAAGGGTCCCCCAAAACACAGAAGTGGTTCGTCAAACATTCTACTGCTGGCAAGTCACTTCCGAAGCATATTTTGCAGTCTGGAAACTGCGAACATACTTCACCCGCCAACACACTTTCAATTTGAGTGTGACGGCTCGTACTTCACTGGAGATGTGAAACCCTTGGGTCCAAACGGAATGGAAGAGAAGGCCTTGTGCCATCGGAAGGCAATCGTGCAAGCACAGCGCTACTGGAAATGCCACCTCCAGCGACTCAAATTGAGACAGGCACCCTTTCCGGAACAGAGCGGTGTCGCCAAAGCTGGGAGGCTATCCTGTGAGCAGTTTTGTGGCGGATCTGTTTGCAGCTGAATCCTGGTTTGCCTCGAATACATACACCTCATGGCCGCATGCCCAGGACCATGGCGATTCTCTGCGGGTATGCTCTGAGGCTGGATCGTGCTGTTGCTGCATCTTAGCTGATTTCCCAGTGCACTTGCGGCATCATGATTTGTGCGAGCCGGCTGGCAGGGTCACGAAGATGTTCAACAAACCTGCAGACACTCGGTCAGGCACTATGATGTCTGCGCCTCCCATCAGGTAGAAGCAGTGATTCCACACGACCACCGCGTGACCGGTTCGCGGGGTGTACACCTTCGTGATAAGACAACCCCCACACACACACACACACACACACACCTGCTCCTGGAGGCCTCCCCGCCCGCGCCCGCCTGGCCAATCTGGTCATCAATGCGGGTCCAACCTCTGCCAAGCTCTGGATGAGCAATGTCGATTTCTAAGGAATAAAAACAAGGGCTGCTACACCACAAGTCCTCTGGCATCAAAGTTTGAGCAGCATCCTGATGCGCAAACGTGTTGTAGTTAAGATTCCAAATCAAAACGTGCGCTCCTGAGCATCACCAACGGCCCCAGTGCTTCCGGGAACATCTGGCAAGCGCGGTGACGAGTCTCTTGGCAAAGTCATTGGACAAGAATAAGGGAGCCTTCTGGACGTGTAGAACTGGTCGGGACAGGTGGACTGCTTGCTGCCTGTCAAGATGTGCTCAATGCTCACGTGCAGGCGTCTTGACCCCATCCTGCCTGCTCAGCGAGTTGTTTCTGACAACGTTGTAGCTCGGATTTTGTCCGCAGCAAAATACGGTACCTCTGAGAGCATCACCCAAACCCGCATCATCTTGCGTCGCAGATCAAGCCAGCAGCAAATGAAACAGTGCTGCATGTGACTGACGGCGGCACATGTCATTCAATCGACGTCCGTCAAAGCCACCCAGGATGTACATGTAGCCCTGTGTCGAGAGACGCTGGGCCGCTGAACGCGCTTCCATACATCAAGGAGCCGATCGGAAATTCCAAGTTGTCTGCCAAACCAGAACCCATGCTTGCAAACGTCGGCCTCGTGAACCACAGTCTTGTGGAAAGTTCGTGCCGATGGTTGCAGAGACATCGTAGCGACCTACCAGGTCACTGCGGTAAGCTTTGCAACCGCTCTGCACGGAGAATGCCTTCAACCAATGCCGATGCGTAAAGTTGTACCTGGTTTAAGTCTTAATTGAGGCACTGCGTGTGTGGCACGGAACCTGCCCAGAAACCATCTTGGGGCACTCGTGCAAGTCTGGAAAACGGTACTGCGTCTTGTCGACGCCACCAAACGTGAACATCTTGGACGCGACAGCAGTGTCCCCACCGCATCCTAGAAAGCGGGAAAAGCTCAGGCCGACACCGCGTCACCACACACGACCGCTGTGTGACGATACCGCGCCTAGTAACAATCAAGAGACAACAGAAGACATGCCTGAATTTCCGCGCAATTTGGCTTTGGACACGAGGTGCTGTACCACGCAGGGGCAACCTGAGCCAGCGGCTGAAGCTAGATGCAGACTCACAAAAGTAACCTCAGACCATGGCTGGATCCACATGTTGGAGGAGATATTGTACTCAAACAACTCCTGCACCAGAGAATCATAGGGGAACATTGGGTTCTTGTTTGTCCGATGTCTCTTTGGCATTGTAGAAAACCATCTGCGCAACACTAAAGAAAACCAAACCAAGCTAAAAGGGCACCAGGAAAATAGCTACGAAAAGCTAACCACAGTAATTATCCTGTGAATTCTCACGTGGGATTTGGGACCAGACCGGTGCAGCGAAAACAACTAATCTGTGCTAAGCAAATCACCGGCTACTGTCACACTTAAAGTCTAAACACCAGTCTTGCTAAGGTTTAAGACCGAAAAGATTAGGCTTGATGAGTTCAGGGTCTAGGTTTTAAGATGTTTGAAGTATCCACAGACGGCTGAAACATAGAAGGATAAGTTGTACTACTGACAGTTGGCTGTACACACTTGCATACGTACATTACGTCTCGCATGCTACAGGCAGACGGGCTTGCTCTAGGGCCCTGAGAAAACTCATGCGCATGGCGCAACTCATGGGACGTCCCAGCAGCCCTCCTGCAACGTGTCATGACCGTCCCAGCCCCCAAAGATGTACATGGAGTGGGCGTATATCACGGCCTTGACAGAAGCATGGCAGATGTCGTGCTTCCGACGTCAAACAGCAGGATGCAACTCGCAAGAACTCGCACATCGAGGGCGGACGGTGTGCCCGAAACGATTGCGGGGTACTTGACTTCGCACCTCAGGATTTCCATACTGGTCAGCTGCCGATTCTGATTGCGATTGAGTCCCACACACTGACTTGACTCCAGCGCTTATCTTTCAGATGCAGCTCTCTGAGGTCATTGAACCTGGAAGATGAGGCCAGCAGCTGCTCTCAAACAACGTTGCGGCTTCGCGCATCGTCCGGCCTGTTATGTCCATCAAATCCGCCGAAAACAAGAAGCGAGTCTCGAAAAAGAACGACACTGTGGTCTGTTCTCTTCACGGGGGCTTCTCCCAGAGTGTGTACCTGCCGTTCACTGAAACTCGATGCCCACACATGCATGACATCCGGGCTGCCCAGGAGGGCACAGACCCCCACATGCTAGTTGCAATGTCATACTTGTAGACATCATTGAAGTAGTCCCCGTCCTCTGCATCCACTCTTGCAGCTCTTGGCAACTTCACCGCATCCTTCTACAAGCACTTCGGCATCCCTTTCGCTTTTCTGACGAAGCTGATCGCCCGCTGGCTCCAAGTCAGCAGCATGGTCCGTGTGAGCTGAGGTCCACCCAGGCCTGCACACAGAGCAACTCTGTTAGCTAGCGCTATCAACATCTATGAAATGGGCTGACATATCCGTGGTGCATTCACATCACATGTTCAAGGTCTCGGAAGACTGCAAGTGCACACGGGGAGCCTGCTGTGTGAAACATGGTACTGGACCGACTGTTCCCGTCTGCGGCATGTGCTGACAATTTGAGCATCATGTCACACCTTCGCCAAATCTGACCTGGGGAAGTCGTGAGTTGACAACAAGGTTGACATCCGATGCCACAGAGAGAAAGGCCAAGTGCCGGACGACTGCAGCTGGAGCTGAGCCGACTATGCTGATCCAACCTTGTCAGATGAAGGGCATCTCTGCTGCCTTCTTATTACGGCTGGTCCCGGTTCGTGCATATTGCGTTAAATAATGCGCTATATGATTGTGGAATGCTCCAACGAGATTTTGTCAACCTGGAAATCATCCTCATCATTTTTCAAGATTCTTAGCTTTCCCGAACCAGCTCTATCTCTGCTGAGCCCTGAGCAAAGAAGCTGCAGCGAGTCGCTCCCCAAGCCTGGCAAAGACGGTGACGCGACGCCACACACCGAGCGCATCCCTGCCTGGAACTCTGAAGTCGCGGCTCGTGGCCGACTGCACCTTCTGGCAGGCTCCTACACTGCCTTCCACTCAGATGTCGACCTCAGGCAAGCACCTTTACTAAGCTGCTGCACCAGGTGCAATACCTCAGCGCCCTTGTGGCTTCGCTCCTGGGCAGAAAGAAACACGCAGCGCAAAGCAGAGTGAAAGCCGAATTAGACAACAAGTCTAGCATATTTTCAGTGCGGGCATGCGTCTGATGCCAACAGTGCCGCGCAGAACGCCACCCAGTCTGGTTGAACAGAACATCCTTAAGTGTAGTCATCACTTTCGGCTGAAACTTGGATGTCGTTCGAAGACTAGGCTTCTTACTTGGCATCTCGTTCCAAAGCATCCACAAAGATGCAGCCTTGCAGCAAACCGATTCACCGAAGGCATGTAAGCAGACTTCTAGAGTCCTGGGGTCGGGACCCACTGGCGTCCCAAACCTGAATCTTGAACAGATCGGAAGTTCTCAACTATCCCGGCGAGCTGCTGCCCAAGTACTGCATGAGCCTTCTGACAAAATCAACTCCTTAAGATTCCTTAAGGATTTCCAATCACATTGAGCTAACATGGGCAAGCTGCGGCAGGCATGGAGCGCCACACCGAAGCAAATTGCATTAGGCTCAGCGTCTCTGGAAGTGAGAGCTGGTAGCCTCCGAGCGCCATGACAGCAGCTTCAATCTCAAGAAGGGCCTAACAGAGGCCGGGACAAGCGAAGCGCCCAGCTCCACTTGGAGGCCTGCAACGATGCTCGCTGCACAAGTTGCCACACGAGTACAATCCTTCTGGCTGAAGTCTCAGGTCCTCCGCGCAAGCTGCCATGGCCGAGGCGCGCATCACGACGCCGCTGATCCCGGCTAGCTGGGCCTGGTCCGCTAACTGGCAACACCAAGACGCGAGACTCGAGCTCTGCTCTGCCTGACGTAGATAGTGCAAGGCCTAGGCAGAAAGGATGCAAAATGCTTCCCTGCCGAGACTTCCATGAGTTCCGTGCTTCGATCCAGAGGGCACCATGTTGACACGCAGCCAACACCGGACCTCGGAGAGGGCACAGCGGCACAGGCGACGCAAGGCCTGTGGCCAGGAGGCCTAGGGCCTAGGAGCCGGACCAAGACATCCAACAGGGATCGCCGGGGCCAAGCCTGGCCACTCGCATGCGAAGTCGCCGACGCAAAGACCCTGCCTGAATCTGCCTGAGCCATCGCCCTCACCTCTGGCGAAGCTCAACAGCAAGCTCACCTCCCATCGAGAAGCCTCAGGTCGCTTCTCGCAGGGCCAGGTCGGCTGGGTAGGAGGGTCGCCCGAACGACTTGCCTACACCTTGCCACTGCACGCTGCTGTCCTCCACGGCCCTTTGCTTTAAAGAACTCCACGGTCCTAGCAGGACCTAGCTGCACCAGCCACGAGAACGTGAAATCAGACTAGCCAGATCCTGCCGAGAAGCTCGAACACACGCCGTCTGGACGGCACCTGAGAGCAGATACAGAAAAAAAAGGATTCGCCAGACTGATCAGTACAGCACTGCCCGGGCCGAGGGCTGCTGCAAGCCTCCTGCCATGAAGCAACCGTACTTCCAAGCTCATTCCCTTCTCCCTCGAAAAATCATGGACTGCGCACGTTGGGAGAGATGCTGCATTCCTGCATCCTCCAAGGCTGACAACTTTGATGTCTGTGAGCATCTTACTGAAATCAGTAAAAGCACTGCAGCGGTTGGCAAATGAAGTCCTGGCATAAAGCTCCAATGCCTGAGAGTTCAACTTTGCAGCATACTGTCAGAGCAATACAGAACTCGGCTGCCTGCTCCCACTGAATACCACGAGCAGCAGCAGCAATTGCTGTTCCCCACCAGGCACCTGTGCACGTGCAGACACTTGTGAAAGGAGGAAAGCGATGCAACTCTACTGCCTTGCCTGTCTGTGGCTCCGCTCTTGAAAGCACACCGAGAGCCTGTCTGCAAAGGATGTCTGCTCAGGCTTCATAGATTACGTCCGCGAAAACCAAGAACAACCTACTTCGTATCTTCCAGCTGAAATATGCACTGAGGTTGTTGAGAAGCGTGCATCGGATGACTCGCTAGACTATTCAGTGTCATCTGAGATTCAGACCTGCTGCCAAAGCTCCGCAGATGAAAATGCACTGGCCTAAACAGGCAGCTTCGAAGCATCAGTCATTGCTACACAAAATATATGAGCTTGCCGCTGCAGATGCGAGTCCTGCTTCTCCGGGTGCTATGGCTGTCCTGTCGGATGTTGCCGGTCATATCATCTCAACACTCTGACCTTGAAGGGCCTGCTCATCCCCTGCAGCAGGGCAGCTGCCTCACACAGAAAGAGGTTAACAGAACATCACCTGCTGTACCGAGGAATCTGGCCTGCACCCACACTGACGAATTCGCGCAGGCGGCTAAACAAGCTCCAAATAGAGTTGCATTCAGCAGTCTGGCTGCAGAGCCTAAGCAAAGCTGTAATGCTAAACACAAGCCTCGGCTCAGACGGTGCCAAGCACCAGACCGCACTCCAGAAATGCCAATGATGCCTGGATCTGCGCTGCAGGCCCTGACCCTGGAACGATCTGCGGCCACTGCCTGCCACTGATGGCCGCGACCACAAGCCGCCGCAGTGGCCCCAAGCAGCACCACATCACCTACAGGAAGAGGCCTGGCGGCCTGCCTCTCGCAGTCTTCACGCCCCTCGCCCCTCGCCTCCGTGGAACTCGGCACTCGCTCTCTCAAAGAGCTGGAGCGCTACGATCCTTACAAGTCGCAACCCCTACAGGCCCTACCCGACCCAGCCTGCAAGCTTCTGCTCTGAGACAGCTGCCAACGCGTGGCCGCCCCACAGGCCACGATGACGGAGGTGACCGCGACGAGGTCCGGGGCAACTCGGCGGTTCATCTCCGACAGGAGCTGTAGGCCCCTTGCCCATTCCTGACAAGCCATCTCAGCATATGCAAAGCATGGGACTTGCGACTCGACCTTGGAGAGATCTTCTGGGCTAAGGTCGACTCAGCCCCGCGAGCTAAGGCATCCAGGGCCTGAGATCACAGCATCGAAGATATCGACACTTCAAGCTCGTAGATAGACCGAGAGAAGCTTCTCAGATTAGATTAAGGCGGGCTGCTGCAGAGTAGCTGCTTGCGGATGGCTTCGGTCCGCGATGGCGCATGCTGCGAAGAAGAAGCCTGAAACATGACCAATTGAGTCTCCGAGCCGGTTGACTGGCTGTGAAACGCAATGAAAGGCCCAAACAAAGCACGCTCCCATTCCGTCACCAAGGCCTCAGGAATCATGATCCGATGGCTCCTAAGTAAATTAAAAACAGCTCACATTTGAGGTCCAGACGCATGCCGAGATGGCAGGATTCCAAGGATGCCGGACTCAGAAGAACTTAGGCAGTCCGGCTGAGGGCATGAATTCTGAATGCTTGGGCGTCAGCTGGAAAACTTGCGCGACCATGAAAGGAGCTGCAATGCCCACTGCCAACGCAAGGCCTTTCCGCATGCCTGGCACACGAACGGGAACAGAGAGTGGTCTGCAAGTGGTGCGAGTGTCAATGCTGCACCAAAACACCAAACTGCTAAAAACGATTGGTGTCTGCAGCAATCTCCCTCATGACTCCTCCTCCTCCTCCTCCTCCTGATCCTCCTCCTCATCATCAGCACCATCACCAACATAATCAACATCCCCGTCAGTCATTGGCGCAAGAAGCAGCTCATGAAACGCACAGGGCGCCAAGCTTGCATCTGTCAGTGCTGACCGAGATGGCTTGACAGAAAAGCCGATAATTTCACCTCCTTCCAACAGGCAAACAGTCTGCTGTTAACAGAACTGGGAGCCACCACTCTCGCACATCTGCAGAAAGCTTCATAATCCATTACCCCTCACCCTCGCAACAACGCCAGGTTTTACACAAACGAAATGTGAGGATGCAGAGGCAAGCCACCGAGCTGATTCTCCAGCCTAGCCACACAGCTTGCAGAAAAATTCTTCGAAGGCACGCAACCCTTTGAAGTGTTCGCCTTGAGAGTGGGTTACAGGGATATCAACCGGTCGATGGGAAGGCCAAGAAGAGCCCATATGTTTGTCCTTATGTGCAACCTGCATTCCTTGGTAGCTGCTAGGCCTTCACGCCAGCAGTGCAATCTTCTTGAGTGAGTTCGTCTTGCAGTGCCAGTGCTTGTAGTGCCCATAAAGACCAGTCCTCCAAAAAAATCCGAGAGTTTTGGAAAGGATCACCAGGCGCGACAGTAACCCATGCTTGGCAAGCGGCCCACTTCTGCTGCCATTCTGATCTCTTTAAGGCTGCAGCCAGAGGCCTGGAGACATGCCGAGCACTGCAGAGTGGCTCGTTCGGTTCATGCGCTGGCCTCATCATCTTTCATGCATCTCAAGTACGCCATGACGGAAGTTGGCTGCGACCACAGTGGCAGCTATGGATCTAAGGACTGTGGTCTTGCTTGACGTGAGGCTGACTTGCGCGGTGAACATAGCTGCAGTGCGAAGCCGAGATCCACGCGTCTCGATGCAAGAATTAATCATGACTAAATTGACTGAATATCAGCTGCAGCTAAAGAAAGTCCTTCTTGGTGTAGCCACCAAAAAACCACACAGCCCCAGACCAGACCACAGCCTGGCGGAGGATTTCCCGAAAGGGACAAGCTGGAAGCTCCAACTGCCCGCGGGCGACCCGGCCCGCAAGGCCTGTGCACCACTGCGTGCTGGTGGCGGACGACCTCCAGCCCGAATCTCCTGCCAAAGGTTGGTCTCCACGTTGTACCTCGCGAGCCGAAACAAATCCCTGGACGTCTTCCCTCATCATTACTTGCTCATGGCATGGCATAGTACAACGCAATGTTGGTAACCTGCAACGACAGGTGAAAGGAGTGTATGACAGAAAATGGCACAAGGGGCACGCGTGGACGTCGCTTTGCCGTGCAGCTCCATCTGTGCCACCGAACAAGTAGAACACACCATCCTGCCCAATGCCGAACATGCCGAAAGCACCCTCGCCCTCACTTGTGTGAAACATGTTCAACTTTCGGCATCCCTTCCCGGCACCTCATTCACAACAGCATGGCCTGTTCTGGGCGTGTAAACCTGGAGACTGTCAAGTCAGGAAGCGAGAGCAGAAAGGCTCCCTGAGCTCAGGATTGCACATCACCCACGTTTTCCAGGTGATCCCACTTGTATGGCACTCCCAGCCTTGTGGAACTGTCAGTAACAAGCAAAGCGCAACACATCCAACAACTGCCCTTCTCAGCCATCAACCCGGCCGTGGCCATGTTGTCAACAACTGACCTTTCCCGGAATTGCTGCTGCAGAAACCAAGTACAGAGAGGAGGAAAGATAGACAGAGTGAGAGTTGGAGAGCGTGAGAGAGAGAGAGAGAGAGAGGGAGAGAGAGAGAGAGAGAGAGAGAGATGGAGAGAGAGAGAGAGAGACAGGGAGACAGGGAGACAGGGATACATGGAGACAGAGAGACAGAGAGACAGAGAG